ATGATGAAAAAAAATCTTAATTCCACGGTGGCAATTTCAATAGTCATTTTTGAGCAACTTCTCCTACAAAAACCGAACCGTAAAAGCTTAAAAAATGGGGGTATAACAAAGGTAACATTATATAATTTGTGGTGATTTACAATCCTTTTATACCTTCTTCAGAACAAAGTCGTTTCTTCAAGATCAAGATCGTTGGAGCCATGCCACCTCTCCATTTCGAACCTAATGTTAAAGATATCCTTAGTTTTTTACATTTGTGCCTCTACTTTCTTTCATGTAGGACATAACAGAGCTAATTATGTAGCTGACGCATTAGCAAAACAAAGCAAAGTTCTAGCCAATTTACTAGATGCAGAATATTTTGGCCAAATTATTAGTATCACAAAACTTTGTAAAGTTGTAATACTAATCCCCAAAAAAAAGGAAAAAAGAGAATTAAAAGACTGTCAAAGACGAAAACTACGTAGAAAATAAGAAAATCGTTAATTCTCGGCCTTACATTACATACTAGGTGATCGTCCCGCACCATGTACGGGTATAATTTTTTTTTTAATCGAATTATGTTCTTTTTGGTATTTAATAACACGATTATATCATGGGTGATTTGCAGCAATAACCAAAAAAAAATATATTTGCAATCTAATGAAAATAGTATGATATGAAAAAATAGGAGCCATTAGATTAGGATGATTTAGTTAGTTAGTGAAATATAATTTTTTTAGGTTATTTTAGCCAATTTCTCTTATATCATTTATAAAAATTAAATATGCATCTTTGTTAGTTTTTAAATTAATATAAATGTAGAAAATTAATATGCATATATATAAAATTTTGAGTATCGTTGTGAAAAGTATGGACTTTTATTTGGTAACATTTTTGTACTTGTGTAGAAATAAAACGCAAATATTAAAAACAATATGTAAAATTTCATAATTAGTAAAAAAATGCTTCAACATATTAAAAACTTTAGACACTGCAAGCATGAAGAATTTGTAAACTCCATTAACGATGGTAACTATATATGTTTTGTTACCATCCG